CTTCCTCAATCGAAAATTAAAATTTTATTAAAATTTAATTAGTTTTCTTGACATAAAATTTATATCAATCGGTGTACTCATTATTGAAGAAAGCAAACTATCTTCGTAAGGTTACTGTCCATAAAGTAGTGTTTTTTAAATGGTTTGGCCGTGCCGTAATGTAGATAAGTATATTTGTCTATATTTTACAAATTCTAAATTATATTATTGCATGTGAAAATATATCGCGAGTAGGTTCGTTTTATTTTTGGCAGCGATCAAAGCCTTTTCTAATTTATTTTTTAATTTGCTGTTGTCGAAAATTAACTGCAGCCGAACAATAAATAATGCGCAAATTATTAAGTATAAAAAATGAAAAAAAATAATCTTTCATATCTCCTTGTTTACATTTATTAAACGAAACCTCTATTGTCTTCACAAATGTAGCAAAGCAAGCAAAATCAAGTTTACAAGGCAATTTATTGCGATTCAATTGACCAAATTAATTCTAAATTACAGACAGTAATAAAAAAACGAGTTTAAAGCACCGAAATTTTTATTTTTTAAAACCAAGTAACAATGATTTAGCTTACAAATATAAGAAATTTAAATAATCGCGAATTTCGCCTGCTAATAAAGCACTTGTAGACACATTAGCAGAAATGATTTTTTATGTATTTTCATCTATATAAATGTATATATTTTTTTTCACATTCTAGTAGATATATTTTTAAATAAAAATTAATCATTAGATTTTATATATTTTTCGAAATAAAATGCGATTTAACTGTTGTCGATTTTGTTGTTGGCACAGTCGCTGGTACTACAGCAGCTGCTGCTGCGTCTACAGCAGTGACCCTGAAAAATTCTTTCATGTGCATGAGAAATTAACACGCACGTAGCAAGTCACATATAGCGCACCAACAACTACAGCTAACATTTGTTTCGTCTTATGTTCTTTAGAGGCAATACTGTTTGTTTTGTTGCTTATTTTTTTCTCGCCTCAATTCACACTACATAGTAGTTGCCAACTAAAAAAAGTCCAAGTGTTAAAATTAAATATTTAATACACATCAAATATGTATGTTAGTTTAACTAATGAAAATGAGTACAAAACTGACTGCAGTTTGCATTAGCATTGATGTATTCATGCGTGAGCTGAGCAAATTGTGCCGTAAAAGATCATTTTAAGTGGTGAAAAAAATTGATCAAATGAAAGAAAAAATAAAAAACTTCCTAATATTATTAAATTAAATGTAAACAGCAACGAAAATATGTATAAATATATGTATTTGCAGCTGTTTATCGTTCTGTCATTTAACCAAACATCGGTGGGCAAGGTCATGTTAGAGTTTGATTTTCGATACGGGTATAGAAAATGGAAAAATACGTTAATGTAAATTACGAGTACGTGCAGGAGAGTTTCCGCGGGTGGTTACTATGTTTACATACAAATGTAGTTATGTACCTACAATACATTTGTAATTTTTAAACTCAAGTAGCAAAAAACTAAACCTTTTGGAATATTTTTAGGCTATTGTACTCAAGTGTTTAAGTGTTTTAACGTGCAGGCGTTCATACAGTAGAACGAGAAAGAAGTGCTTGCTGTCTTCATGTTCTGCTGAGCATATCAAAATTGTTGTAAAAATCAAATTTCTATGATTTTTTTTTTTTTTTTTTGGGGAATATACTTGTATAGAATATCAAATTTGTCGCTGTGTGTCACAGTGATCCGTTCCGTTCAGGTTCCGCAAAATGCTCGTCGCTCTTCTCTTCTTCTTTTGGTACTTACATATGTTACTTTGTTAGTATATGTTGAATAATTAATCTTATTTTTTAATTAAAAATATTTATTTTTTTTAATTTCATTTATTTTTTTTAATTTTATTTTTATTTTTTTATTTTATTTTTTCCCATTTAATTTATTTATTACTATTTTTCAGTTTCATTTATTTATTTTTTTTAATATCATTTTTTTTTTGTTCGTTGGTTGGTTGGTTGGTCATCAGCTTATTTACGCCATGAAACGGACCTAGTATGATAGCACTGAGCTTCGTAATGACCCCTACCCGATAATCAAACCAACGTGTGAAGCTTGCAAAACTGTGTTTAGTCGCCGTATCTTAGTCCACGATATTTCGCTCTAGTCTTCTAAGGTTGCCGCCCCTAGAGACTTCAGGCAACTCGTCTAAAGTGCAGCGCAATCGCAAAGGAAGTTTCTTAAGCTTTCAGATTCTTCTTCTTGTCTGTAACTTCTGCAGAAGTCGTTAGGTGGTACGCCCAACCTAACGGGTGGATGCTCAATAGAATATGTCCTCTGAAAAGACCTATAACTGTAAATATGTTCTTTCATTTTAGCTCGGTATAGTAACATAACCTTCTTCTGTTGCATCCTGGGCATTTTGTCCTGGCCACATTACATGCATTAAGACTTCTCCATCTTAAATTTGCATCTGTAATGAATAACTCTCCTTTATTAATCTCACAAGTGAAGAGCGGCATGCCCAAGAGGCTGTAATTTTTTTTGGCAGTTGCGATCGCCGAGAACCAGCTGCCGAACCGCAATACAGAAATCGGGGAGAAAATGGAGTTGTTGAAAAAGTTAGTGACGTGAAGAAAAAAACACGTAAAAAGGCAACTGAGAATATTTCAGCTGTAGCCCAAATTGTTGTTGAAAACCTAGATTTGATCAATCCTCGCCGTCCTTCCACAACCATTAAACCGAAAAATCATCTTTATTGATCAGGTCCATTTCCACCCCGATTGCTACTCGTGCGCTAAAACCCAAGATTTATTGTTGAAAAGCCTCTCTATCCTCAACGTGTAACTCTTTGGTGCGATTTATGGTCCGGTGGTGTCAAAAGATCACACTTTTTCAAAAAAGATTAGATTGCGCTATCGAGAGATGATTATTCATTTTTTACGGCCAGGAATTGGATGGTATTGAACTGAACAACGTTTACTTTCAACAAAACGGCGCTACGTGTCACACAAGCAACGAAACTATTAATCCTTTAACGGAAAAGTTTTCAGGTCGTGTTGTCTCTTAAAGAGCTGATCGTAATTGACCTCCGAGATCTTGTGACGCAACACTTAGCGACTGAGCCACGTGGATGATAAAGTCTACCCCAACATGCTATCGTCGATTCAAGACCACAAAGATCGGATTCGTGAAGCTATTGAGTGCATTTAGCAGCCCCTTTGCGATGTAATGATAAAAAATTTCATAAGCATAGCATTGTCGGACATTTGGCTGATGTTGTTTTCCAATCTTAATGGCATATCTTCCTCTTAACATTCAAATAAACATCCTTAAATTTATCTAAAAAAAATCCATGAATATCAAATTTACAACTCTTTTTGGAAAGCCTCTTACCTCAATTTTACTTTATTTTATTTTATTAAATTTTATATAATTTAATTTAATTTAATTTGCTTTTGTTTTGTTTTACTTATTAAATTTTGCTTTAATTTCTTTTTAAACTTTTTTTTAGTTTTTTTATATTTTATTTTATTTTATTTTATTTTTAATTTATTTATCAGTTTAATTTTTTATGACTTATTACTGTTTTATTTTACAGTTTATTATATTTTGTCTAAAAAAAACAAATTGCTTTTTTAAGCTGTTCGTTTCCCACAATTATGTCGATTTTAGAACTATTTAAGCCTTAATACAAAAAATTTTATTTATAGAAGGCAAAAAATGTGAGCATTCAAACAGTAAAATATTGCCAAAAAAAAGACGCGAAATTTTATGTAAACAATAATAATTAGAAAAAACTAGTTTTTGCAGTACAACAACCGGCCGGCGAGTTTGTCAAACGTGAGTATTGAATCTTGTTTCATGTCGAGTTTGTTGCTTCAGTCTTTTGTTATGTAGCCCGCCAATGTACATACATACGTGTACACTCATATGTACATACATATATGTCCATATTTATTTACATATATTTGGGAAATTCCCTTAAATTACCCAGGGGGTTACCCTCAAAACTTATTAAGTACTTTCTCAATAATCTGTCAATCTGAAATTTTGAATAAGAATTAAAAAAAAAAATGTTTTTTAATATTATATTTTTATTTTTAATATTTTTTATGTTCACACTTTCCACCAACATTTCTTTTGACACTATTCACTTGCAAATCATCACAAAATAATTTAAAAAAAATCCTCAAATAATTTAAAACCAGTATTCTCTGCAGCATTCCACTTTCATGTTGTTGTTATTGCTCATTTGGTATGAGTGAGGTTTGGTAGTGAGCAAGCGGCGACATTGCACTTGCTCAAGATAGGGTTCAAGACTTTTTCACAGTCAGCAGCGTCAACAGCGTAAACAACTGAGCGTCAGCAGCTCAATTTTACTCCAACTTACTGATACAGCGCACCGAACTGCAAACGCACAGCAACTGCAAGCTACTCCATCACTTGTGGTTGTTTGTTTGGCTCTTTCACTGACCGGTTGACTGGCAGCATGTCTTGGTGGGTTGGTCCGCCGGCCACATAGCCGATTCGTCGTTTCGGTGAATGCCTTGATAAATACTTGTGTTTTTTTCGTGTTCTTGATTCAAGGTCAAATTCTTGCTACGCTCTTGTCGCCAACTCGTTTGACGAACAACGGCAGGCTGAATTGATGCATTACTGTTAAATTTTTTTTGCCTAAAATTTTAATTCCACTTTTTCTTATTCACAATTAATCTGTATATTTGTGCAGTGGTGGTTTTGATTAGGCAATTACTATTATTATTCATATTGAGGCTTGTGCATATATAAAAATTCTTGATTTTAACTGCTAATAAATAAACGCTTAATATTATATGAAGGCGTGCCATGGTTGTATTACCTCGCCTGTCTTCCTTAGACTTAATTGGTTTTGTCGAAATAACTCATTTCCGCATCTTCTTCCTTCTTTATTTTATGACTTCTTTTTTTTTATATATTTTTTTAAATTATTTTATCACTTTACTGATTTATTTTGTACAATAAAACTTACCGTTTCTCTTGATGTTTCTTTTTTTTCCAGATCCCTGCTTGTATATTATGCGTTTTGCCAATAAACTACAATTTGGCGCTAAGACCCACGAGGTATCCATGACTGCGTTGCGCATAGTTCAACGTATGAAAAAGGATTCTTTGCACTCAGGTCGGCGACCGACCGGTTTATGTGGAGCTGGTAAGTTTATTACTGTATATGATTATATTTGTATATAGATATATACTACATAAGTATACTAATATGTACATATGTTTGTGTATAATTTAAATCTATTTTTATCACAAAAAGATCGCATTGCCAACAAATACACACATACGAGGGGCGGCTGATAAGTTCGCGGCCTAAAGTACTTAATGAAGCAAATGTATAGTTTTATGTATCTTATTTTTCAATGTAGTCTCGCTCAAGTGAAATACACTTGACTTCACAGCGTGAACAAAATGCCTTTATACCATTGAAAAAATATTCTTCAGTCTTCCCTTCAAATGGTTTTCTATGGCCGCTTTCATCTCACTGTCGTTTGAAAGAAAAAAAGGAAAAAATCAATGGGAGCCCCTCCGGGATGGAGACTGGATTGTCAACTTCTGTAAATCCAGTAGCTTTTAAGGTTGCCCTCGCAATCCGAGCGGTATGTACGGGTGCATTGTCCCGAAGAAACAGCACTCCGTGCGCTAACTTGCCATATCTTTTCTGTACGACTGCCTCACTTGCCTGATTCAACAAATTACGGTAATACTGGGCGTTCATTGTAATTGCTTTTGGCAAGTAATCAATTAATAACATTCCCTCGCTATCTCACAAAATGGTAGCTATTATCTTGGACGCCAACTATTTCACTTTGAAATGTTGTTGTTGTGACCGCAAAAATATTCAACATAGTACTTTTTGGGGAATGCTGCGGGAGTGACAGTACTTGGCCGGATAAAAATCCGACTGTTGCGGAAACTACGGCAGGCATGCATTAGCGCTGGTAAATTCTTGATCACCTAATTCGCAGGGGGTGAATTTTTTTTTACTGAATCGACTCCTGTTTGGACTTGGGATAATACTGATGAATCCAAGTTTAATCAATCGACAGCATTTATAAAGTCTTATTTAGACTATAGGCTCGATGAAAGAGTTCGAGGAGGTGCCTTCTCAAGAGACCACTTTTTAAGCACCCTTTCACGCTAACCGACCCATTTCAGTTTATTTCAGGTTGAAATTTTAGCCATTATGGAGAGGCAGCATAAATCAGGAGCAAGAATATCTTTGTCTTCAGCGATACACAGGCAGATATTAAGTCGATTCGCTCGCTTGCAACGATGGCAAAAATTGTATTAGACTTTCGCCCTAAGATGATCAAAGGGAACACATTATCTCTCATTAGCGTTCCTGGTCACAGAAATGGCGGAAATTGTAAGGTAGACGAACCTGTCTGGCACGGCTCGACCAAGCTGTTTCTTACCGACAAAGAATGCATTGGTATGTCTTTTGCTACATTCAAACTGATACTCAAATACATTACAGATGTGCAGGTCGTATGAAGATAAAATCACGCTGCGAATGGGAACAGAAAAGGGTGAAAAATTATACTCTCTCAGAAGATAGGGCAGCTCTAAAGTTGTAGTGGTCTTAACAGGTCACTGCTTAATAGGGCGGTATGCGGTAATACTGGAAGTTCTCCTCACAGAAGATGGTAAGAATGATGAAGTACAATAAATAGTTGCTCATCTGCTATGTGACTGCCCTGCCTTAGGTAGAGCTAAGTGCTGATATCTCGGAGCTGCTTTCATCTATGATTTGTATAAGATAACACACATCAAGATAAATTATCCATTGAATTTTATGATAAAATCGAATGGGTTAGTGTGGCTTAGTGATCGAGTAAACACCGTGATAACACACAATGGACGTACACTGCCCCAAGTGTGTTAATGCTCAGACATCGATAGTCACTTCAACCTAACCTAACCTCAAATTTGCAAAAGATGCCTCTCTTTCTTTACATTAAATATCTACTATATGTTGCTACTCAATATTTTGAATTTCTATGAATTTCTGGGTAGACTTCAGGAGATCAAAAGTAATTAAGTTGGTCCTTTATAGAAGGACGGTTTTCAGCTTTATTCTAGTCAATAGTATAAATATATTAGGCTGAACAGATAAAGAGCAGATATTTCATCGTCTCACTCAGGACACTTTCTGCCTGTGTTTGGGCTAGTACCAGTAATTTTTCAAGCCTGTGATGCCAGTAGGTTGTGAACTTTCACCCAGTTCTTTCGAAACCGCGGTAGCAAAAGTGTGTATATTCGTTCACACGTCTAAATACTCCTTCGTCACTTTCATTGTGGACTCCTTATCGTCTTGAATGTTTCATGCACTTTTCCGTCCGAAAAGAAGAACTTCTTGTCTAAAAATGTTTTGTATGAGTGCCAAGGACGCACCTACTAGCCACAATGCCAAAACCTGACAAAGTATCTGACAAAGAAGGTACGGGGAACAAGCGTCGACGAATTTCTTAGCGAAATATCACCAATTGATTTGAGGCTGATGAACTTCGTCTGTCCTCAAAGTGTGGTTGTCTGTATACTAGACCACAGTACAACTGCTACCTTACTTTAGAGTAAGTAGAAACTTAAGGCTAAGGCTTGTCACGGAATATGCTTCCATTATTTAGAATCCATGTACGTTGTGATAAGTAGAAATTAGTTCAGAGCAGTTTTTACTTGACAACAACATTGAATTACTCTTTCTAACAGGCGCTACTTCGCATTGAGTAGGCAAGTGAATAGTAAAACGTCCTATATCGACGAACCAAAATCAAACTGTCACTCATCATTCCAGTCCTACTCTATGTTGCAGAAGCCTGGACAATGTCGACATCCGAACTCTCGGCCTTGGCAGTCGAGGAAAAGTTTTGCAAACGTGTGGCTTTGCGCACTGAGCTGTACGAATTATATGATGACATTGATTTATGTAGAGACAGCGGGTTCGCTGGCTAGGTCATGTCGTCCGAATGAATGAAAGCGTTCCAGCTATGAAGGTAGTCGATGCCGTATCAGCCGATGCAAACAGAGTAAGAGGAATACCTTCGCTCCACAGGTATTTTCAACTGGCGCCAAGAAGCGAAGAGAAAGATTAAATGCCGCGCTCTTGTTGATTCGGCTATAATCGTGTAAGCGGTGCCCACGCCAATGAAGAAAAAGAAATGTGTAGTAAATTTGTAGTTGCTGTATTAAGAAGCTACCTATGTGAACAGCTCCATTGAACTACTTTTCGTGAATCTACCGATGCGCCCCTCGTTCGGTTGATCGAGTGAAGGATAGCGCGGGGCGTCATCGGCAGAAAAAGGATTTTTAAACAAAAATTGTTTAATGTTAGACTTGATGTATTTGATTGCAGTGGGATTTTGTATTCTCTACAGTTTCGTTGGAATACATACATACATACATACATACATACATGCATACATACATATATTCGTAGTGCATATTTTTAGCGAAGTGTCGGCTGTCAAACAATTACATCATAACAAATGTGAGAATAGCGCTGAATGTAACGGAAATCTACTCGTGTACATACATATATACACATATAAATATATATGTACATACCTTTAGCTTACTATAAAAATGAGCATGTGAAAATCAAATATTTTTATAAATTCCAAAATCACAACAACAAACTTCAATTGAGACGGAAGCGAGCCGCGTAACGATGAGTCACCGCAAAATGTTCTTAACAATTAGAATTAGCCCGATGGGTGTGTGCCCGGGTAGCTCAGTCGGTAGAGCATTGGACTTTTAATCCAAGGGTCCAGGGTTCAAGTCCCTGCTCGGGCGATAACATTTTTTTTTATTAATTAGAGATACAAAAGAATTGAACACTTTCACTAAATAACACCAAAATTAAAATATATGAATGAATTATCTATAGAAATGAGCTAAAAGTATTAAAATTATCCTCCTACCATTCTTCCATTCATTCCATAATAACAGCACTGCTGATCGCCGCACGCATGCATGAATTCAGTCGGACGATTTTGGATATTGTTGGAATTGTAAAAATACATGAATCCACAGTGCGTAAGCGTTTGATTGAATTCGCCGATACGCCATCGAGTGCGCTCACTCTAGATGAATTTATGTCCGTTGATCTGGAAGCGGAACAGGATCCGCCTGCATTCAAGGCGGCGCGGAAAAAGGATCGCGATCGTATCAAGGATGTAAGTTGAAACTGTAATAAATATGTAATTATTTTGCCATACCATAACATAATGCTTGCCAGCATGTAGTGAAAATTAAATAAATTTTATATATAGCATAATTTACTCTTAAGCACGCCCTTAAGTGATCGTGTTGTTCTAAGAGAACGAAACTCTCGAACATATGCTGCTGCTGTGTATTTGGCAACAACGATTTATAAGCCCGGCTAGCTCAGTCGGTAGAGCATGAGACTCTTAATCTCAGGGTCGTGGGTTCGAGCCCCACGTTGGGCGAGTTAATTTTTTTTTTTAATTTTCAAATTTCGTAAATTTATTTTATTTCTCTCATTCTAATAATAAAATTAAAACAAATCCCTTAAACCATTTTGCAGATCGGCGAGCACGAGTTGTCCAAATTGCAAATGGAAATCGATACACATCTCGAAAAAGATCTGAAACGCATACAAAAGAATACAATGAAGCGTTTGACTGGTGGCATTGCTGACTTTGCAGGCGATAAAGATTTCGAAGATGTCGAATCGGCAAATTTCATAGAAGAATCTAATCTCGAGGCAATCAAAGAATGTCTGGCAGATACACCCGAAGTCGTGGAGCAGAGAAAAATAGTTTTAAGTGGTCTCAAACCAGACATCGAATCGATGTGTCGTCCAGCGCCAAGTGAACTGCTAGAAGCGGAAAAGGCTAAAGAAAATGATGTTATCGAGGATTTAGATTTGGAAGGCTTGGACGATGAAGAAATCAACAATTACATTCTAACGCACGAAGAGGCCGAGTATAAAAACAATATGTGGAATGCTTTGAATGCCGAGTATTTAAAGGAAATGCGCGAAAAGGAAGCACGCTTAGCAAAAGAGCGTGAAGAAGGTAAACCGGAAAAGAAAAAGCGTCGACCGCGTCGTAAAGCTATCGGACCCTCAACCAGCGCTGGCGAGGCTATTGAGAAAATGTTGCAAGAAAAGAAAATCTCAAGTAAAATTAATTATGATATCCTGCGTACACTGACGGAGGGTAGCATAGCTGGCGCAAGTAGCGTTACGGCCACGGAAATTACAGCAGCGGAAGCAATGGATATTAAAAATGTGCCCATTATTGTGGAAAATGGTCCGATCAAGCAGAAAAATAGGTAATTTAATTTTTGTTAGCGTTTTTTAAAAATATCGTACTAAATTTATGATTTCCTTCTAGTCGCTCAAAACCGGCCTATACAATTGGTGGACCAGCAGCTAAAGTACCCAAACTTGAAGTGGGCCTGCCAGTGGCAGCGGAACCAGCGACTCCGACGAAAAAGGAGCCCGTTGTTGTGGAAAATGGTAAGAACTTGAATGCATGCGTGGGAAATTGTGACGTATTAAACATTTTGTTTGATTTAACGCAGACGATCTGGATGAGTTTGTCGATGATGCCGATGCAGATGCAGACGGCGAGGCAGAGCCTGAACCCGAACGTGAATACTCCTCACTCAAGGATATGTTAAATAATGGCGAAGAAGACGATTACTATGGCTATGATGAAGATAATTATTGAATGCTGCTTACTTGTGTTGTATTCAAACCCATGAAAAGAACTGTACTTTAAATGAGAGTAGTGAAGGAAAAAAATGTCCCATATAAAGTTATTTAATATTTTATTATTTTTATTTAAACAAATATTCATGAAGATTAGCGATCTCTTATATAATTTGCATTTGATATGAAAACGTCAACCACACACTAAATTATATAATTAATTATTCTAAACACAGTGCATTTTCAAATAAACATGCTAATAAATTAATGGTTTAAGAATGAATATAATTATACCTTTAGAAACATAAGTATATTTGCTTCTAAAATTGAATTGGTGTTCCAAGATCACAACAGAAATATGTTATTAGGAGCGTTTATTTTCAAATTGAAATAAAATAACAAAATAATTGTTAATAAACTTTTTTATTATTATTATTATTTTTTTTTAATAATATTTTTTATGACTTAAAATAAAAACAAATACGGATATAAAGCAATATTGTATTTTTTTTCAAATCATTTTTCAAATTAAAGCTTTTTAAATGCAAGCATTTTCAATGAAAACATAAGAAAATCGCCTTTTCCATACTTTCTATTTCCTATTTAAATAAATCTTTAAACTCATTCAAAGCAGCACTTCCAGCTGATGCTTCACTGTTGACATCGCCAAGTAATTTACAGTCTTCTAGGTTTACACCATTTTCCATGAGCAATGCTATCAGTCTGGTTGTGTGCAGCACATTCCCGCCCACCAAATGCGGAAAAGCATATCCAGTCTTCTCACGTATACAAAACATGATACGTTTCGAAACGTAATCACTGTAATTGCTAACACTACCCACACAAATGTAACGCTGCTCTGCCGGCGAGAATATTTCAATATTTGCACGTAAACACTCTGCATTTGTTAACGCACTTGCATCCGCATAGACAACACGAAAATGCACGCCCAATTCTTTGTAAAAATCTACAGCTAAATTTAAAATGGTCTCCATTTGTTTCTGTGCATCATCGGCCGTTTGCGTGGCCACAAATGTTTGCACGGCATTGCTTTGTGTGGCAGTGAAAAGATTTTCTATTTGACTACTGTTACTTGGAACTTTAACATAGCTTCTACCGGCTGCCACGCATGGTAGTGGTAATGCAGTCGGATATACCACCAAACGTGCAAAAGCACCTAGGAATCCCTCGAATGTTGCACCACCTGTTAAGTATGCACGATTTACTTCGCTTATAAGATCCTCCTCTTTCACCAGATGATAACTTTCTAGTGGTGTTGCACTCGCTTCAAGAAGCACTAAACGCACGAAGTCGGGGTTAGACATTTGCATGAAACCACCTTTAGTAACAAAGTAATTCGTTAATGCTTGCATGCTGAAAACGTCAAACTCTGCAAGTTCCCCAAACATATAGTAACGGTCATTATTGATAAAGTGTATTAGGTCTTTGTTGGCCAAATGTGTTGGTTTTTGTTCCTCACAACGTGGTGTTTGACTGCGATATAACAACTTTTCAACGTTACTGTGCGGACATTGTGGATGCAAGGTATTGGGCAAGTTTAAAAAAGCGTGCACGAAGTCCTCTTCAATTGGATACTTCTGTGTTTTAAGTGATTTTAACTTATTTCGTAAATTAACACCTGTTTTCTTCAATTGTTCTGTTTCAACACTATTTGCAGCACCTGTCTGTAAAATATTCGAAAGTTTATTAGAATTCTACTAAATTAATTAGATTTTCATACCGCTTTCCACATACTTTATTTAGTTCTTTCAACTTTTTAGTTAAAACCTCACGCTCAGCTTCAACTTCTTTGATTTGTTTCTGCATGCCGAGGTATTTGGTGTATTTTACTCGCATTTCGTCGAGGTTTATTTGCATTTTTCGAGCTTTAATACTTTCTTCCAGAGGCGCCAAGTCTTTGAACGTTCCCTCAAAATCCATGTACGGCTGAAGTGGCGCATAATTATTTTTCGCTTTATCGCCTGTTATATATAGCGCAGAAATGCTTCGCCTGAATGGGAGCTGCTGTGAATTTTTCAGTAAATACTTTGTCGTGGATGTAAGAAATTTCATCATTGCCTTTTTTTATTATTTTGCTATAATACTTTGCATTGAATTATATTAAAACTATTTAATTGTTTGCAACTATTACGCGTGTTTTGTTGCCCGAGCTAAAAGCAAAGTGAACAGCTGATTTTTGTTTATGCAATGAATTTGGTGCTGCCATATCTAGTAAATGAAAATCAAATAGAAGTTGAATAAAATACTATTTTTTGTTTAAAACATTAAACCAAGTTTTACTTTCATTTATAAAAAATGACATAAAAGAATAAATTAAAGAAAAAAATTAAAAAAATCAACTGCACACAACTTTAGCAACTGCAAATACTAAATATGCATAAATTTAACTGTCTCTATAGGGATTGTCCACTAACCACGTGGTCAAATTTTAAGTCCTCCCGCACACCTTCCTATTGTAGTGTGGGCCAACGCAGGGTTTAATGTGTTCCTACTAATTAATTAATCTTTATTAACAATTAATAAATTTTTTATTAATTATGCCTATTAACTTAGTTTAAACAAATATTTTAGTTGAAGAGAATTTCGTAGCTCATAATAGACGCCCGATTACAAGCAAATGAAGCAACTTGGCAAGATTCTCCCCCTCGTCCGTTTCCTTGTATGTCTCCCGGAATACCTCCCTTCCCTGAGTGACGAAATATAATTTTTTCCTCTTTACTAACCTAGACACCGCTTACGAGATTATAACCCAGTTAATAGCAGAGTGCCATTCTTTCCTTCGCTTCGCTAGTTGGCCCCAATCGGAACTACTAAATATAGGTGCTTGGCGAGTACTACATCGAAAACTATCGAAGCAGGTGTCAAATAACGGTACTCGCTGCACCAAACCCTTTCTCTAGAAAATTCATAACACCGACTCATCATCGCCCATGACGCGGCACCATGTAATTAAAAAAAAAGTTTTAATTAATATCATAATAGCAAGGATTTTCTAATAAATCATACGACTAAATATTGATTTAGTAACAGTTAAAAAATAAAAAAACCTCTTCCATCCGCACTATTGACTCTGATCCACAGCTCCCTGCTGTCTGTGTCGCACTAGTCCCAAAGTTACGGACCGCCTGCTCTTCTGACTTTTAATTTAGAGTACCGTTATATTTTTTTGTTCTGTTGTTTTGTTTTTAATTGTTTGAAATTACTCTAGATCCCACAAGTAGTGGAGAAGGGGTGTGCCACCCGTGCAAGCATCCGCATTGCTCGGATACAGCCTGGTGTGACTTTGTTCCAGGAAGCTCCGTTTGAGACTTGGCTATTTATGAGTCCCCAGATAGGCTGATGCTCGGAAATGAGTAACAACTTAACCCGGCTGCACCTTAAGAACCATTTCTATATGACATATCTATTATAGCTATTGAAGAGCCTAATCTTGGCTGTATACTCGCCCGAGCACATACGGGATTATTCTATAGCATCCATTACCAGTTGGCACCCTCGTGAAGGATTCAGTCTGAGGATTTTGCCCCCAATATACAGATTCAGAACCTGAACCTACAGCTTTTGCTAATCATAATGTCGCCCACGTATGAATTAGAGTTAGAATTATCTATGTATTTGAGATTGTTGACTTAATTTCGTGATAAATCGAAGCAATACCGTTAACTGATATTGGTTATGACTCAAAATGTCGTTCAAAGTTTGTCTTATTTTCAGGTTTTATAAAAGATATATGGAAGAATATTAGTCAAAATATTCCAATTCTACTTTTTTTTCCATGAGACATTACAATCTTTTGAGTATTACTCAAATCTCGTGAAGCACCAGATTAAATTTATTTAGCCAAAAAAAAAAATTAATGATCCAAATGATGCAAAGAAATGTGATGTGTTTATGGAAAATATTTATGAAAGCAGTGTACAAGTCCGAACTCTATTCCTTGTGGAAATAGACTACCGTAATTGAATTTTTTCCTCTTGTTTAATTTAATTTTTGTGTTCTAATTTTATTGATAAGGCAGCACGTTGAAGATCTAAAAATATAAAAGATCACGTCATGAAAAAGAGCTTACAAATTCCCGATTTTCTCTCTGCAAATATTTTTATAAGACATTTGACACTTCACTTTCAATAGCCCGGCTAGCTCAGTCGGTAGAGCATGAGACTCTTAATCTCAGGGTCGTGGGTTCGAGCCCCACGTTGGGCGGAGTTAAATATTTTGCTTATTTTATTTTATCCTTTTTTTCTAATAATTGTTTTATTTTCTTCAATTTGAATCACTTATGTAAGTTGAAAGTACTGAGATAATTATTATTATATGTAAGTCTTCACATAAATACCTAGTTTATCTGGAATCAAAACTTTTTTTAACAAAGAATTGAACTGCCTCGCTTGCTATCCTTGCTTTCACTTGGCCATTACGAATCACCGTTATTCAATTTACTCTTACTCAATCATAATTTAAGTAATAAATGTCAATATATGTTATTCACTTTACGCGCTTTTATATTGTTTTATTTGCAAACGAGTAGTATTTTTTTTCCCACCGTTGGTTGGTTAACGCATTTATGACCATGCATTGTATTTAAATGCTTATATATTTGTGTGTACATAAGTAAATATGGAATGTACGCTGCTGGGTTACTTACAGATAGAGCTGATGGCAGCTTTATTTTACATTTTTTCACGAACGATGGCGATGGGGACTGTATGTACATACTCGTTTATGGTCGTATAAACTACCACTTTTCATTAAAGATTTGCATTTTTACTTATATTTATTATCATATTGGAAGTAAGAAAGCGCGACCTGCACTCTGAGCCTGTACAGTTGCAGTACGCACCTGCCCTAACTTTTAAGAGAAATGCCCACATATTATATAATTGAAAAATAACCCAGAAATGCGCGCCTAATGAAACGATGCCATTTCGTTTTGTTAATAAGAGCAATAAACTTAACGAAATGAATTTTTTTTGTTTCGGCGCCACGCTATCGAAACGAATTAAATTGTTGATGTTGAAACGTCCCAAAGTCATCGTTAATGTTTACTTTAAAATGGCTGCTATTAACAGCAAACTTCGATTTGGCCGATTAACATTATCTGTTAGCGGCTTAACATTAACGACAGTTTTCCGCTTCGGATAAAAACGAATTACAATTTAGTTTGATAATACGATAACGTACGATGCAGGCTTGATATAAAGTGTTTGCATTGAACATGCTATAGCTTTTGTTTAATATTTCAAGTCTTTGTTTCTTAATTTAATATTTTAAAGAAAAAATCTAACATTTTACTAAAATATTTTATAGTTTATATGAGGGCATTAACAGAAGTTTGGTAAGTTGACCACAAAAAAGTTCTTTTTGTATTTATTCGTAATAGTTGTCCTTTTTTATCTTCTCTACGTAATCGTCACTGATTTCAATGCCTATAGATCCACTTCTAAAAATATTCTTCAAATGCGCATTAATTATCTCCTCCTTGCTAATAGAGACCTTTCCTTTTAAATAATTTTGGAAACAACCAGAAATCACAAATTGCTGGACGTATTTGTTCGGTCCCAGATTATTCGCTATTTCTGCGGTGTGGGATGGCCGTTGTCATGATGTAAAAGTAGCGTCACAAATCCTCTTTCTTCCTGCTTTCCAACACATTTTTGAAAACTTTTTATAATCAGTCTTCGGTGTATCATTTTGCAGTTACTGCATAACCCTTTTCCAGTCGAAAAGCAACACCGATTTTAGATCGTATGATGTAAACTGACATCATTACTTTTACTGCTGATTTTTGTTGCTTAGATTTTACGGTTGGGTTTGCTACTGTTGGGCTCCACCCCATGAACTGCTGTTGGGTTTTTGGATCGAACTTATAGAATCAAGAAGAACTTGTTTAGGAAAAAGTGAGCCTCTTTTTGGGCCTTATTTAAAATTCGTGGTATCCATTGAGCAGATTTCTTCGTGTGCCCCAGACGTTTCTTGTGTTAATCGTAGGGGTTCGTCAATTTTGGACTTCACCAGAGCAATTAGTTGACCTTCCCGTGGATCGTTCTATACGGAAAAATGTCCGGTCTGGAATCTTCCGAACCACCTAAAATTAGTCTTTAAAAGCGGCGAAATCGTTCCATATGCAATTTGTCATTCACTGAATATTTGTATTGGCTGTCACCAACTGTACGAACTTTTTTTAATCCTCTCGTATTTTTGTTGTATTTTTCTTTTTTTTTTGAATTTCCTTTGACTTAATTTGCTTATGGTGGCATTTCGTTATTGTCTAACGATACATTTTCTACGATAACTACTACAATATAGGAGCCCAATAAAAAAACTAAATTATATATATATGTAATAACAAAATTAAATCGCCGTCAAATCGCTTTTTATGTATATGTATATGATTAATGAAGTACCCAATGAGAAAAGCTTTCAGCAACGTTCATGAAACTGTGATTGCACTGTTTATGCTCAGTGCGTAGACCAAAATTTTATTCCGATTCTGAAAACTAAAAGCAAAATACTTAAAAAATTTCACAACATCAAGTTGCAAGTGGCTAAATTTCATTATAATGAAAATGTGTATGGAGCCACATCGAAGTCATAAACAAATCGGACCAATTTTATTTTGATTACCACTTATAAATGACCGTAAAGATAAACCTCCACACCATTTGATTTCAGGCTTTACAGGCTAGGCACCTTAAATCCCAAATGTTAACTTAAGTCAACCGTATGAAACAGCCTACACAACCATAAGTTTCAACAGCTCAGAAAGCCCAAACGTGGCCAAATTTCCAACTTTTTGTCATCAGGCGTATCAGACTATAGCGGCAAAAAGCTACTTCGAAAATGTTCGAATTTATGGGAAAGGAAATCGTCGAGTCTAACTACAAAAATCGTCCAATGAGAACGGTCAAGGAAGAATTTGCTCAGCTTTGGCTAAAAAGAAGCGATAATGACTCACTAGAAGCTCCAAATGCTTAGGTGGGAGGCTCGTATAGTTGGGGCCTTGCACGAAGTGAATACCATCTATTCCTGCCTATGGAGAATGATTTGCTTGGTGAGGAATTGGCCTCTAGAGAAGCCTGTAGTCCTATGAGAGTAGAGTTGAGTTGAGTTGATACGACTGTTGCTCACTACCAGCGCACTAAGGCCAATATGCCGATTGTG